AGCGGCGRCGCATCTTGGCCACCATTGCRGGGCCCTCAGGCGCATCAAGGAATCAAGGCCCTYTCCTGYGAGTCTGAGTGCGCCCCTCCTGAACCTGAGAGTCTGAAACTTCTYCTTCTGCCTCCCTGACTCTAAGTCTGRTCCTTGGTTCTGAGAGSAAGGCGGCAGGYGGGCGTGTGGCCCGTAACCCRCGCCAAGGCCTTTGTGGGAGGTTGCCCCACYGATTGMGGGAGSTCTGCCATGACTCAGGCGGAGTCCTGGAGGCAGGGAACTGAGWGGTAATCCTTTGACTCCCTCTATAARCCCAGTTATAACCCCTACCTGTACATCTCTCTACGTTTGACTGAGCGTATRGTGTGGATCCTGTACTCTGATCTTGGTTTGACTGYCAGGACCTAARTCAGACTGAAGTAAAGGAGTGTGTGTGCAATCTCAGCTTCAATTTTGCGGGTTGCCTGAAAGTAGATTGTGAACGAAGTGGGTTGCATCTGGGGGAAGGCTGGGAGGAAGGCAGTATTGTGTGCAGATTGACTGGGTCACTGAGGCTGGGAGGTCCCCTTAAGTTTGGGGAAGCCCAGCGCTTTGTTTATTGTGGTTTGCATGGAGCATCAGGCCGCTCTATAAGTTTAGGTGTTCTGACTGCTCTGACTTGTGGGGGTTTGACTGTGAGTGACAATAAGTTTAGGGAGACCTGGTGCTGTGAACTGCCTGAAGCTCTGGAGGCTGGGATGTCCCCATAAGTTTGGGGACACCTGGTGCTGTGAACTGCATGAAGGGTCAGGACGGTCTATAAGCTTAGGTATCCTGACTGCTCTGACTTGTGGGGGTTTGATTGTGAGTGACCTTCAGGGACCCAAGGCGCTCTATAAGTTTAGGTACCTTGGGTTGCCTCGTTTACTTGGGGTTCTCTCAGTTCTTTAGTTCTGAACGAGGAAATCTGAATCGTTGTATCAGTTTAGGTGGTTCATCCCTTCTCATGTTTTATTTTGAGGGGATAATCCTGGCAGGGGACGGACCGCTCTATAAGTTTAGGTAGCCTGTCCCACTGCCTCGCACAGATTGGGTCAGAGAGAAACGAACCTTTGCTGAGGATCAGACCGCTCTATAAGTTTAGGTAGTCTGACCCAATGCCTCGCACATGTTGAAAACCAATGGATATAACTTGGCTATATTGTATTACTATGTTATTACGAACTGGCTGGTCAGGCCGCTCTATAAGTTTAGGTAGCCTAACTATAGCTTATCATAACTGAAGAGAGTACAACTAAAGAGATATAATTGGAGGTAAACTTGGGCAGGCTGAGTAGTGTTCTAAGTTGAGCGACTCAGCCTTATGTCCCTTTGAAGACTAAATTCAGAGAGGTATATATAATTTGGCTATTTAAACAGTTCAAGGCGACTAGAGTGGTTTAGTCATATGCCCAAAGAAGAGAGAAGTAGTTGTGCCCTCTGTTTGTGTATACTTGGCCGAGTAAGAACACTCTATAAGTTTAGGTATTCTGACTTTAGGCCTCGCTAAGTTGGGTGCGCTCTGTAAGTTCAGGTGCCCTGACCTATGCCTTATGTAAGTTGGGTATGAGGGGATAACTCACTGAGAGACTATGAACTATTGTTTGTTCAAATTGACTTGGGAGTGGTGAGAGTACTTACCTTTGTGGTTTGGTCCGCATGTGGCTGAGGGAGATTACTACTTGATCTGGGATTCAGGTTGACAGGTAGTTGCTTTAGAGACTCGCCACGTGTTAGAGCGATAGGAGTTAGGTCAATTCCTGCATTTTCTGAGCTGACTTTATTTTACTTAGATCAATTCTTGCGTTTTCGAGGATCTTTTGTTATACTTGGCGTTGTGTAAATCTTGGCAAGCCACTTTCTCGACGGGAAGCGCTGCCGAAATTTTTATAAATCCAAGGAGTTAGTCAACTTTTGACTTGTCAAAGTTCAACCTGTGTATTCTTTATATCTGACTTWGTAAAAATTTGGAAAGTCTCCCTTTCTAAAGGGAGTGCTGCCCAAATTTTTGTTAATTCAGGGAGTTAGACAAATTTGGACCTTGAGAAGTCAAAGTTATTTTTAGGTTCTGGACTTAGCTTTGTATAAATTTCGGAATAACACTTTTGTAAGGGGAATGCTGCCAAAATTTCTGCAAAAGTAAGGAGTTGACTAAATCCTGTCTAAAATGAACTCAAGTTATCTTTTGAGTTCACATCTGACTTAGTGTAAATCTGGGAAGTCTCCCTTTCCAAAGGGTATGCTGCCCCAAATTTTTGTTAATTCAGGAAGTTAGACAAAATTGGACTTTGGACATTCAAGGGTTATTTCTGTTTTTCATATTTAAGTTTGTATAAATTCTGAAAAGGCACTTTTCCTACGGGAAGCGCTGCCAAAAATTTTCTTGATTTAGAGGAGTTAGAGTATATTCTGACAGGGGCAATTTCGGCAATCCACCCTGAATAGGGGAGATTCAGCCAGGATCTGCCTATGCTTGGGCACTGCTTAAAAAGAGATCCAGGCTTAGTTAATTAAGGTGATTTGAGTGGGATCGTAATATGGGGATTATTCTCCATGGACTTATAGGTTTAGCCTGGGGATTGACCTGTCTTGTGTTACAGGCCATCTTGATCGATTTGATTCAGGATTTGGACTAGTTCCGGCTTGATCCTACGAGGATTGTCTTCTTTGATAACAGTTCGGTTGCCGATTCGTCGGTCTTCGACTCAATTCCAACTCACCCTCCATACTCAACCTAAGAGGCTTTAGCCCTGGTGGTTTTACTGTTTGTTAAGGGTTTCACCTGGAATTTCATTGATTGACCATTTGACAAAGGTACTGAGTATTTAATTGAGGTTGGTTTGAACGGCGGTTGGGGCTTGCATGGCTAAAGCAAAGGGGTATGAGCATAGAGAATAATTGGGGTTGACTCCGTGTAGTGCGTGTTTTGTCGCTTGATTCTTGGTGTGGTTGCATGTATGTCCTGTGACTCGGATTTTGGATTTGGACTGCCTGCGATTCCATATACATATACATGGTTATGAGGAGTCCCACTGGGCTTGTGAGAAGTGATCGTCATAACTTTACCCACTTTTTGCATGTATGCGTGCGTATACGTATGATGAGTGTTCGGGAGGCCTAAGAAGCCACGTTAAGCACTGCGTAAGAGTTGGGGTCGAGGGACGGGGAGGGCCCTCCCCTTCGTCTATTTGCGTCTTGAGGCTTTCTTGGTCGGACGTTGGTCCTGGGCTGGGATTCAAGGTCCTTGTCCAAGACATCCTAAGCCTCAGGCCTTGAAGGGGAGGAGTCTCCCCTTGCATAGAGCCTGTTTATTTTGGACGGCGAGACACCCCGCCTGAAAGGCGGAAATGCCGCAAGGCCGAACGACGTGTCCTTCAGCCGTTCAATATCGTGAGGGGTAACCCCCCCCCGCGATGAGTTCCTTCAGCCATTCAATATCGTGACGCCGAAGCCGCGGTTACCACATGTGATTGGCATCAGTGGTTGGCATAGGGTTGGCCTGCGGCCGCGCAGTTTTATATCAGAGCCCTGGGCGTGACGGCTTGCCGCCCCGGCGTCTAAAAGTTATGGGACCGTCGGGCTTGCGCGTAGGCGCAACGATTCGGATTATTGTAGGCTGCCGACACCGCCAACAGAGGGGAAGTGTGTCCCAAGGCCATGCGTTTTTTGTTTTAAAGGCCAGAAGACCTTTGCCCTATCCCCTCTTCTTGGGTTCGTGCGAGTCTTGTTGCTTCTTAGAGATTTTTATGGTTGGACGTTGTAGTCCGTGGCAACCGTCAAAGTCAAACCCCTTGACTTTCGCCCAGACTCCGGGGAGGACTCATCCCTAGGGCCGCGAGAGACGACTACCATCACGGGCATGGACCTGTGTACCACCCGCTCTACATAAGGGTGCAGAAGAGGGTGTGTGGTCTCCAACCGCGCATGACGGTTGTCCGGCGTCGAAGGATTAACCCTCTAGGCGCGTGTCAGCCGACACTTTGAGTGTCGAACGCGACCCTCGAGATTAACAAGGACCGCGTGAGTATGGGTACTACCTGGTACGCCATCATTGCGACTGCTTGCATACGCTTGCGTTGCGAGTCTATATGAGTTAGCCCTGCGTCCGCGCGGTTTTTTATAATAAGTCTCTCGCGCGACGCCCACTCGATTTCCATATTGAGAAGTTATGGGATGGCTACCGAGGGGCTAGGAGCGTTGTCGCGTTGTTCGCGTAGTGCCCGCGTTGTTTGTGTTGTGGCGCGTTGTATGTGCGTGTGCGTGTGCGTGTGTGTCTTATTTTTGTGTTCGCAGCGTGGTGCGTGGGATGCGTCCTAGTCGACCGACGACGGGCCGCGCCTGGGACTTCAACTTGAGCCCCCCCAAGTTTTCGGTTCGCGTGCTGGTCCGATAGGCGTATTACCGCGCGTACCCCCTATGCTACAGCAAACGAGAAACGCCCTCGGCTGGTCCACCTCTGCGACCGCAACTGATTAGCTCTCGTATTGTGGGCTGGTAGCTCGGCGGGGATACGCCCACCGATGGGAGGTGATAGCTCCCGTAAGGTGGAGGTAAGTTGTACCTCGCGTAGGCCCTACCCTGTCGTAGGGGCTCGCGAGAGGTATGGCTGGCGCACTCGGCCGGAGCGGCCTAAGGAAGCTCCATTGGCGTGTTGTGTCAAGGTTGATCCAACTCCTGCGTGACGCGGCCGAGAGGGTCCCGCGCCGCCACGTGCGGTGCCGGACCGATGCGCTCGACAGGTGGCGCCGTTGCCGGGGATAACAAAAGCCTACCGTTGTCCTTGGTGGAACGACATTCGGGTAGGAGAGTGAAGAAGAACTAGGCATATAAGTGAGTACGAGAGGGACTATGAGATTGACTGTATGGTGATCTATATGATTGGGGGTTGAATGATTGATTGATTAGCGGCTTAGTTGACAACTGAGTGCTGTATGTGGATGATGAAGTTCTATGGTAAGGATAAGCGTTATCTAGATGAGCCTAAGGGGAATGGGAGAAGGAATGCCTGCCAGGTCTAGAGTGTGGGGTGTCTAAGGTGGTCAACCCAACAGGGTCATGAAAGGTTGAGTCGCTGAGTGGGGTCCTCTGTCCCATCGTCTCTTATAACAGGAAGATTGAAGTCGAAGGTGGTTGGCCAAGATGCCAGAAGGGATGGCGGACGGTGGGAGGAAGCTCGTGACTCTCGATGACCTCATCGATGCCCTGGACAAGCGCGAGAGGGCGCCGAGCAACGTCCCAAAGGTCGAGACATTTCAGTTCAAGGGGGACAAGGTATCCGACTGGTTGGATCTGACAGAACAGGCACTGGTGGGACTTTCAGATGAGGTCAAGCTCCAGCGGGTCCTTAGGTACGTCCTGCACAACCACCATCGGGAAGTAACTAAGGTTGTGGATGCCGCTGGGGGCAGTTGGGCAAAGTTTGGGGACCTAATGCGAAGGAAGTATAGGCTGGGGGACGGCCTGTTGACCATGGCCGACTTGGAGGCCATGAATAAAGAAGACTTCTCTACCATTGGGGCGTTCGTGCACGAGTTTAAGAAAAGGGCGAGAAAAGTGCACGGGATTTCTGAGGAGGCGCAGTGCGCCATGTTCCTGGGACTGATTATGGGCTCGGAGGCCACAGAGCTAACCAGCTATGGGGAAGGGAGCGAGAGGCTCACCTGGGCAACCATTGACAAGGGAGTGGAAGAAGGGAGCCTGGACCAGGTGGAGCAACACCAAATGAGGCTGCAAAGGCGTAAGAGGAAGGAGAGGGATGCTACCGCATCCGGGACCCCAGGGGTGAAAAGGATCGTCACGGATGTGTTGGCAGCACTGGGGTATGACAATGAAGCGGAGATACAGAAAAGAGGGGTGCCAGTGGCCCAAGGCCGGGCATCAGGGGCAATAGATGAGGAGGTTGGGCAAGAAGACTACGGCGGGGGCGAGACAGGCTCCCAGGTCATGACTAAGGCCCAGAGGAAGCAGCGCAATTTGCTGCAGGGAGGGCAGGGGTCAGGGAAGGGACAGGCTCCCCAAGCCATTGTCGCACCACCGCCTGTCGCCGCGGCCGCGCCAGCGTCAGCAGGACCATCGCACATGGGGCCGCCGCCAACTTGCGGGCACTGGGTGCCGCACTGGTAGTCCGCGCCCTGGCCCAGTTGTAACCACTGGGAGTCAGGCCCACGCTGGGCACATGGTCCCCTATTCAGGCCCATCCGCAAGTATAGGCCCCCCGAGCTACCCGGCGACTCAAAGCCAGCCCGTGGCTCAACCGCCGCCCTCCCAGCAGGCCTCGCAAGCTAGTGTGGCCAGGGGAGGGGGCCAGGGACAAGGCGGGGAGGGCAATGGGGGCTGGGGCCAAGGGGGTAGAGGAGGGGGCGGCCGGGGGCGAGGAGGAAATGGTGGAGGCCGTGGAGGAGGCTGGAATGGTCAAGGGGGTCAGAACCAAGGGGGTCAAGGCAGCCAGGGAGGGGGCCAAGGGTATGGGAGGCCCCGCTTCGACTGGCGGAACGCAACTTGTTGGTATTGTGGCGAGTTGGGCCACACCGTACGATTCTGCCAACAACGGCGGGACGACGAGCTGGCAGGACTAATCTCCACCTGTATGGATGGGGATATATACGATCGGTGGGGGAAGCATATTGATCCCAAGACCCCGGGAGGAATCAGGCAGGAAGCCCTCAGGCGCGCAGCGGCAGGGCCTCCAGCGGCCCTAGCAATGTTTAGGATATGGCAGGAAAGGCAAGACCCCGGCGCAAGAGTCGAGGAGATTGTGGGTGAAAGTGAGGAAGTGACTTAGCGGCTGAAGGCGGGGATTATAAACGAGGAGCCTATAGTCGTCGAGTCAGACGATGAGGCGCAGGAGGTGGTAAGAGAGTCAGCCTCGACCATCCTGGAGAGGATGGAGGACCTGCTGGCAAAGGTCGACAGATATCAGGAACGACTAAGGGCAATGTGTGAGAAGGCCCGGGAATGGGAAAGGAGCCTCCCTGAGGTGATGCTCTATGGGTCCGGTCCAGAATCGTCATCAGGACCGCAAGGGTGCCCAAGCGTGGCGACTGCCGGGGCAGGCCCTAGGTCAGGGATGACCTTCAGACCCCCTACGTCGCATGGAAGGGTACCACAGGCCGCGCAGACTAGGGGCCAAAGTAAGGCTACTACCAGTCAAGGGCCTAGCCAGGCACCCAGTCGGGCGCCCCCTAGAAAGGACCCTGAGCCCGAACGAAGGAAGGAAGTGGTAGAGGTTCAAGAAGAGGAAGATGAGGGTGATGACGAAGAAGACGAAAGGCTCCGGCAGGAGGAGGACCGGAGGGCGGAACAGAGGGCCAAGAAGAGAGGGGCTCAGGGAGGGGCGGAGCCAATTCTGCATGATGGCATGCCTAAGAGGAAAAAGTACGCGGTCCGGCTGGAGGAAGGCTTTAACGTGGAGCGAATGGTGGACAAGCTTCTGGAAGGCCATAACGATCTGATGAATCTAAAGGACATTTTGGCCTCGGCACCAAGGCTCCGTGGCGAGCTGAAAGGGCGGCTCTCGCGAAGGTTAGTGCCCAATGTCCACCTGAGCTCAATTTTGCCCAGGGAGATAGAGTGGACAGAGGCGGACACTAGGATGGATTGGAAATGTGTGGCGTGTGGGTTGGTGGACTTGAAGGTGAGGGACCAGCCGAGCATTGCAATGGTGGACACGGGCACGGAGATGAATATCATCCGGGAGCGGGACGCGACCATGTTGGGGTTGGAGGTCGACCATTCGGACCATGGAGTGTTGCATGGCGCCAACTGCAAGGCCATTTTCTGCGGCACCGCGTCTAATGTGATGGTGGAGATTGGGAGAGTAAGGGCGCGAACGTGCTTCTTCGTCATGCCCGACGTTGACCACCCCATCCTTCTGGGGAGGTCGTTCCTCTGCCGAACGGAGACCCTAGTCTTCAACAGGCATGAGGGGACGATGATCCTCGCTCTATGTGATCCGGCTTGTGGAAACCATAAAATCATCAAATGCCGGAACACAGGGCCCGAAAGTGGGAGGAACAGGCTCAACCTCGGCTCCTTTACCTTCGAGGAGTCTGAGTACGTGCGACGGAGACTCCGGAAGGAGCATGAGGAGGAAGGAGCAGGCGAGGTGTTGTCCCTTAGCCTTAATGATGTAAATAAGGCAATGGAGGTGGTGGCGGCGCACGATATGGCAGACCCTGAGGCTATAAAGGTGTTGAGGGAGCAGGTCCTGGAAAACCCTCAGGTGGGAGAAGTGGAGCTGATCTATCGACTTCCTGGGAGGAAAGGGGACCCTGCGATGACCCAGGCCCGAACGACAAGTCGGCCTTTTTTAGGGGAGGGCTTAAGCAGGGCTCCCAAAGGCGGTACAAGACTATAGATAAGAAGTGCCGCCTGGTCCCCGTGCTTGTCACAGAGGACGAGGAAGCCTATTATGAGCTGGAGCGAGGGCTGATAAGGCGTATGCGGGAGCGTGCGCAGGCAGGGCCGTGCCGCATCAATAATGAGAATGAGGAGGGGCTGATAATTGGCGAGTCTGGCTTCCTTTCGCCCCAGGAAAGGACCTTGATGGTGGAGACCATGAAGAGGAGGCATTGCGCATATGCGTTTAATGATGACGAGCGTGGGCGGTTGGACGTGGATAAGATCCCAATGATACGAATGCATACCGTCCTACACGAGCTGTGGAACCTGAGGGGCGCGCGGTACCCAAATCCGAATGAGGAGAAGAAGGTGGTGGATTACTTGGACGGGAAGATAAGGACGTATGTGACAAATTACTCCAGTGGACCGTATGCTTCCCCTTGGTTTTGTTTTATCTAGCCGAACAGAACGCTACAGTGGGTGCAGGACTTGCAACGATTGAATGCAGTGATGGTGCGGGACGCGGGAGGATTGCCGAACGCGGACGCCCTGTCAGAGTCATGTGCAGGAAGACCTATAATCTCACTTATAGACCTTTACTCTGGATATGACCAGTTTCCTGTGTACCCACTGGATAGGCCGGTGACGACGATGCATACGCCAAGGGGGCTGATCCACATGAACGTGGCACCTCAGGGATGGGCTAATGCGGTGGCAATGGTGCAAAGGCACATGATTAGGGTCATGCAGACGGTTAATCCACATATTACTCAGCCCTACATTGACAACTTGGCGGTCAAGGGTCCAAAGGAGAAGGAGGAAGACGAAGTGATGCCTGGAGTGAGGCGGTTCGTCTGGAAGCACGTCCAAGATATCGATCAGGTTCTGGGTCTGCTGGAAGAGCACAACCTGACGGCGAGTGGCCCCAAGTCAAAGCATTGCATGAGGGAGGCCACGATTYTGGGCTTTGTCTGCAACGAGAAAGGGCGGAGGCCCGATGTGAAGAAGACAGACAAGATCCTGGAGTGGCCAGTCCCCTTCCAGTCGATAACGGACGTGAGGAGCTTCCTTGGGACCTGTGGGTTTTGGAGGAGTTTTGTAAAGGACTTCGCCACCAAGACGGAGCATTTAAGAAAGCTGGTAGGTTAGGATCAGGAATGGGTCTGGGGCGAGGACCAGGAAAGGGCTGTGGAAAGGATGAAGAGAGAATTCAAGGAAGGAGGTTTGGTGCTAGGAGCGTCAAACTACGAGGCTACTGAGGAGAAGCCATTCGTTGTCGAGACGGACGCTGGGCCAACTGCCTTAGGAGGAGTCCTGATTCAGGCGGATGCTGATGGAAAGGAGAGACCGCTGAGGTTTGAAAGCCGTACCCTCAATACAACTCAAAGAAACTATTCGCAGTTCAAGAAAGAGACGTTGGCGGTGCTCCATTGCCTAAGGACCTTCCGTAACTATATCTTTGGCAGAAGACTCATTTTGAGGGTGAAACCTATTGCGCTTGCGTGTTCTCTAAAAAGTTATACTCCATCTGACCCAACCATCCCGAGGTGGTTGACCTACATTTGACTGTTTAACTTTGAATTGGAGAGGATTCCCGGGGACAAGAACAGGGCAGATGGGCTGAGCCGTATTAACTGGGATGGGGCAGACAAAGAGTCAATTGAGGATACCCCACCAGTCGACGGGTTCCTGGATCAGGAGGAGGATGTCCGCCTCCACATAAATGAGTGGTCGATGAGGGTGCCCAACTGCGTCACGCATCCTATATGGCTAGCACCAAGGGGGTACGAGCAGAAGGAGGAGTTGGTCCTCAAGCCCTTCCAGGAGGAAGATCCGTGGGGGAGAAGGAATGTTGGCTGGATGATGAAGTTGGCGTTGACAGACACGTATAGTCTGGCGGAAGAGGTGAGGACGATAGAGGAAGGACCAACCCAGATAGAGGAGCATGAGCAACTAATGGGAGGGATGTACTTGCTCACTAATACGCTCCTGCAGGGGAGCTCTGACCAGAGGAGCTCGACCGGGTCCGAGGAGGGCGAACTTCTTATTCTTGAGAGCCAGGACGACGAGTTCGAAGAGGGAGAGATTAGGGAGGCCTTCCGTGCTGAGGAGTAAGACGGAATTTATCGGGAGTTGGGGTTACTCCTGTCGTGCGAAATGAGGGATAGGGACGCAAGTGCCAAAACCCAGAAGATGAGGCATCTCTACGTCGTGAGAGATGACCATTTGTTTATAAAGCGACAGGTTGGGAACCCCAAGAGGATCATATATGGGAGGAACCGGCAGATCGATGTCATAGCAGCCTTACACGATGGTATAGCAGGGGGGCACAGAGGGGTTAGTGCCACGTGCGCAAAGATAAGTGAGCTATACCATTGGGATGGGATGCTGACTATGGTCATCAAGTACTGCCAGTCCTGTGTACCTTGCCAGCAGAGGTCGACACAAAGGCCTGGGGAGCCTCTGCACCCCAGGTTGGAAAGAGAAGTGGGTGCAGTCGTACACCTGGACCTGTTGTTTATGCCACTCGGGGAGGATGGAAGTAACTACATCTTCGACGCACGAGACAACCTTACCGGATTCGTAGACGGTCGAGCTATTCGCACGAAAATTGGTCTAGTGTTAGCAAGGTGCATTGAAGAGTACTACCTGCGCTATCCATTTGTCCGAGGGTTTGTGATGGACCGGGGGTCGGAGTTCACCTGTAACGAGGTACGGACTTTGCTCGCGGGGTATGGCGTGGTAGCAAATTATACTACTGCCGCGCACCCCCAGGCAAACGCACCTGTGGAGAGGGGGCATAGTACCATCACGAATCTCCTGGCCAAATGGACGGAAGGGAAGCCTAACCAGTGGCCGAAATTCCTAAGAGCAGCGTTCTTCGTGGAAAATGTTACAGTGAAAAGGACTACCAAGTATGCGCCAGCCACACTATGGTACGGAAGGCATGCCACCTTTCCCATAGAAAGCTTCATGAAGACGTGGAGGCGCCAGGACCTGGAAGTGAACCTATCCTTTGAAGAACTGCTCGATATATGGGCCCGACAGGTGGGAGCTGATGAGGAGAGGTTACGAGAGGCCGCTGGTCAGGTGGAGAGAAGTCGTATGGAAGACAAGATGAGGTGGGACCAGATGGCCCGAATAAGGAAGGATCCGCTGAAGGTTGGAGATGTGGTGCTGCTGTATGACTCCTCGTTGGAAAAGCAATGGTCCAGGAAACTCGACAAACGGTGGATGGGACCTTATAGGATCGTGCGGTGTGGCGAGTTTGGGGCCTACCAAATTGAAGAGTTGGATGGGGCCAGATGGCAGGACTGGGTATCAGGGACAAGGCTGAAGCAGTTTGTGGCCAGGGAATAGGTAAGGGACCATGAGACCTCGTTAGGGATAGAGTCTTGCCTAAGCGCTACCCAGGCCGGGTAATTAGATAGGTGGGTGATTGGGGTGGATGGGTGTGGAGAGTATGTGGGATTTCCCTAGGCCAATGGCTCAGTTGCTGACCCTGCTGTGTGCCTGTTTGTTGTCTCTCGCCTGTTGTGCAGGTCTGACTTTTCGAAGGCAGTCATGCGGAGGGGCGGGAGGGACACACGGCCACGCCAGAGGCCCCAGAGGATGGAGGGAAGGGGCGAGCAGCATGAGCCGCCTAGGAGGGAGCCTACGCCTGAGTTTGATGACGACAACATTGAGCTCTTCTTCGACGTATATCGGGACCATGCGGCACAGAGAGGGTGGTCAGTGGCGGAGAGGATTCACCACTTGAGGGGTATAGGGCGGTTTGAGGAGCCTGTCGCTCAGATATGCGAGGAGGCCCTGACTTGGCCAGATGTGGAGGCCGGGATGCAGAGGTTGAGGGCTTCCCCCAGGGGGCGTGATGGCATGCCCATTCGATTGGAGGAGGTGAACGCAGATGAGTTCATCCCCGCATATGAGCAATACATGTTGAGTTTGGGGGTTGCGCAGGAGGAATGGGTGCAGGCCCTACTTATCTGGACGAGGCAGGCAGAGAAGCAGGTGGCTAAACAGATTCGGAAGAGGGCTCGAGATTGGGAGGACTGTCAGGCCCAGCTCAGGAGGGCGTTCGGACGACCACAACACGAGGGGCACGAGCCCAGGGTTGAGAGGCGACGACGAAGCAAGAGACTGAGGGAACCGGCACCGAGAGAGGTGGGGCTGGCCAGAGAGAGTAGGAGAGACCCAGCACGACAGAAGGATGAGCCCGCAGGGCCCGCATTGGCAGAGGAGTCATTCCCTGCTTGTGGCCTCCAGATAGTTGAGTTTCGGCGGATCACGAGCGGGGATCTGAGACTGCCCTCACTGTTGCCATCAGCGCAGGAGCTGGACATACCAAGAGAGACGCCATTCCGGAGTTTAGCGACTCATCTCGACGTATCTCAATGGGAGGCCTCGCGATTGGGAGAGGACTCAGCTGAGCCGCCATGCTGTGTGCCGTTGGAAGAACCTTTGGACGCCGAGACGGAGACGGACATGCGGGACCGAGAGGAGCCGCTGGATCCTGAGGTGGCGGTTGAACGGTCGGATCCGGTACGGCCTCAGGTTGGAGAGGTGATCACGGTCGGAGACGACACCTCTCCATGTTCCCCAGTTCCAGAGCCAGGACAACATTCATGGCCAGAGGGGATTCCCGAGCCGGGCAGCGAAGAAATTCCGGAGTCTCCCCCTGCGGCCGCCATTACGCCTGAGCAGGAGGCAGAGGCGGAGGATCAGGGAGTGTGTGAGAGAGCGAGGATGGAGGCGCCCCCTGACTTGCCATCGCCCACGCATGTGACCAAGAGTCCGGTTATCGAGAAGCCCGCTCCAGCGTAGTTACCACCATGCGCGAACAAAGGGGCGAGGGCTGAGGCGACGGCTCTAGAGGGCCAGGGGCCGCGAGCGGGAAGAGCCCCAAGAGAAACCCGTGAAGAGAAGTCCGCCCGAGTGCGAGTCCGTCTGGACGAGATACACGCGAAACAGGCCGAGATGGAGGCGGCAGGGATAGAGCCGACACCGTCAGCCGAGCCCAAGACGAGCGAGCAGAGGATCGACGAGTTGTGGGCTAGGTATGAGAGCCAGAGGGATGCAGCCCGCCAGAGGTCACGAGAGGCAGGACGGGCGGACGAGGAGACGAATGAGTTGAGAGAGATGGGGGACTTGGGGTTCTCCGCGACGAGGCAGGCAATTGAGTGCATGGATCGGAGGGTATGTGAGACGGCAGTCACATCTTTCCAATGGTATAATCTACTCAGCAGTGAGCTCGGGGTTAAGGAGTTGGAGGTAGAGCACCTGACTACTCAGCTTACTGAGGAGAGGGGGAGGAGCCAGGCTAGAGAGGTTGAGTGGGAGAGAAGATTTGGGGAGATGGCGGCCGCTGTGGATAGGCTCTCGACAGCTTGGGAGGTTAGCCAGATAGGACGAGTCGGTGCCGATGGCCAGGGCCGGGGGATGCGCGCCCCGCCGAGCCAAGGAGCAGCAGTGGAGGTCCCTCGACAGAGTGAGCCGATGGAGGAGGTGCCCTTGGACGCAGTTGAGGAGGAGGGTGGCAAGCAAGAGTCGCTTATGGCTATGTCCACGGAGAGGAGGGGTTCGCGTTTGCATGAGCTGGCGACAGCCATGGGGATAGGCACTCCGCAGGAGGGGCCTCAGGGACTTGACGCTCTAGATCAGGCCCCGAGATTGGGAGAGTTGAGAGCGGAGCTGGGCTCCTGGGCCACGGAGACAGACTAAGGAGGGCCTGACTCGCGACGGCAGCAGCAGCAGGAGGTCATGAGTGAGCCCACCACCATGATGGGCTCTCAGCCGTCGGGATTATGTGGGGATGAGATGGTGGTTGTGACAAAGAGGGCTCGTGAGGAGGAACCCCGAGAGTTGGGCACGCCAGAGCGCGGGCCAGGGGGTACAGTTGCACGAGGAGGTGAGGATGTTGAGGCTATGGAGCCCGGACCTCAGGGCCATATGGGATTGCCCTCGCATCCCGAGGTGACCACTGAGACCATGGGGACGCCTTCGGCATCCAGTTCGCAAGGGAGAAAGAAAAAGACTGTCAGGTGGCACGATACCTCCTGTTTTTGGTGCAAGGAGGGAGGGCATAGAGTCGTGGACTATCCAGAGCTCCTTGAGGATAAGGCCGAGGGGCGAGTTGCGTAGGTCGACGGCAAGTTCCATGGCAGACAGGGCAGGGTAGTGAAGCAAGCTCCAGATGGGGGCAGGGCTCAGTTGTATAGGCAGAACCAGGAGGAATTATGTAAGTAGGGGCCGGTCTGTCTATATATTGGTAGGATTAGAGATCCTTGACACACATAGGGCGGGGTCGGGGGTGTACATATCTTGAGTTAGTTGAGCGGGCCCTAGATGTGTGTGTGCGTAGGAGTGGCGGGATGAGTTTCTATCCGATTGTACATATACGTTTGACTTTTCTTCGCTTGTTTCCTCTTGAGTTTCTGCGTGGGCTACGACCCAGAGGTAGGACTCATCTGTGTGATATATGAGACCATTAGGTTACATTTGGTTTTGTGATTCAGAAGCTGTTGCTGCTCTGAATGGGATTTGGGAGTTTATAGCACTCGGGATGTGAGTTTTCCCAGCAGGGGAGGACAGGGGCTGGCCATTTTGTGGATGTTAGGTGGATGCTATGTTCCTGAGTATATTTGATGAGTGTACAGTGGGGTTATGAGTCCTACTCAGACAGGCGGGGCATTGAGTTGAGTGCTTGTATTCGATTGATTGAGGGAGGCATTCTACTCCCTGAGTGTATTATGAGTTGAGATCTTATGGGACTTGTCTTGTGACGATCACTATTACTCTCACATGTGTGGATTTATCTTGATGAATGTTTGGCTTTATGTGAGAGATGTATGAGATACACCTCATGGGCATGATTGTGTAAATCGTAAAGCTGTCTACCCTCCGGTATACTGGTGCGGTCTGCAGCAAGCGGATGAGAGGGCAGAGTATAAGGAGGGGAAGTGCAGCCTGTTTGTGAAAAAACGGTGAGAATCCTACGGGATTGGTGGATTCATGAATTTTCATGTTTGGTCGTACTAAACACCGTTGCCTAGGTTGTACAGGGACCCAGAAGGTGGTCCCTCAATTTGAGTTGTTTGATAATTAAGACCCCCTTCATGGTTCTGGAAGGTGGGAATTGCATTGTATGGAGGCCCCTTCATGGTTTTGGAAGAGGTCGTGTGAGGGGTCATCCTTTACAAAAAGGGGATGACCGTGAAATCTTTTGTGAGAGGCACCCCGTACTAAGTAAGGGTGAGTAAAATTTGGGTGGTATGGGAAGCATTGGTTGTGTTAATGAAGTCTGACGAGGAGGAACCATGTTTGGATGAGATGTTTGAAAAGACCGAGAGATGCCTCGGGGTGGGCGACTGTTGGCTCTGATCCAGTCAGGAGCCGCGGCCTTGTGGATCCGGCGGAGAGGTTATTTGTGGTTGAGCGAAGGATGCCGTGCTTATTTCAGGAGAGCCGGTAAATGCCTTCAAGCCCCTGCGTAGTCCCTCAGCGGCCTGTGAATTGTTTGTGATGCCCCGCCTGACCACCTGTGCTAATTCTGAGACACATTTAAAGGAATACCAAGCTAACGGTAAAGTTTAGTGCCACCTGGGCGCAACCCCTAGTGGATGGCTGCTAGCCGGCACAACCTGGCTGCGGGCCCGCAAGGTAAGAGTTTAAGGGGAGTTGCCCGCCCCAGGAAAATTACCTTGCGGGATAAGAGTCGAGCCTTTTGGAAGCCCTGATTGATTGATTATCAGGGACATACCTGCCATTGTATAACCAATGGGAAGATACTGCCGCTAAGGTAACAATGCGGTGGGCCGTAGACCTGGCCCGATCAACCAGGCTATGGTGGGCTCAGACGGACACCTGACATTTCTGTACTAGACTGCAGAAACGGCTGAGAGAGGCTATAAACTATATGTATGTATTTTGGTTAATGGTGAGAAAATTGTTAAAAGAAGGCAAGAATGCCTTCACAGGTCCCATTCAAAGCCCGCGTCCCTAGTTATGGCTGTGTCTACGTGAAAGAGGCTAACTGGGACACCCAACGAGAGGCCGACGGTTGTCTAGGACAAAGGGGAAGAGGGTGGTTTGAGGGCCTTTGGAACTTATGCTGTGGTATTGACGCGTAATACATTGGTGTCCTGGTGTCAGGACAATGGAGACCCAGATTGAAACCCTGGCAGCATATAGTTGTGTTGGCACGGTTTGATGGAGGCCTCGACCCTGAGTCTGTCAGCTAATCGGATTGGTTCTGATCTCGTCAACATTTGGGATGTGAGGAAGTCTATAGCTTTTCGATTTGGCGACGTGACGGGGACGTCACTTAATATGGTCCGGTAAGCTGTCGGCGAGAATACCCTTACAAGGGTATCCACACTGGTTTTTGCAAATGACAGAAAGACTCGGTTAACCTGGGTTTTGAGTGCCCATGCGGAAAAATGTGAGGGTCGCCCGCGCACAGGCAAGGCTCTGCCTTGTCCCGGTAGGGATTACGTGGGCGCGCAATTTTAAGGCGCGCGTGTAATTTTTCTGATCGACGGGCGACCGGG